TTATCATTTTATAAATTTTGACTTAATCATTAATCACTCTGATAATATTTTTTTTATTATCTCAACTTATTTATTTTAACTATGATCACCATTTTTATCCAACACAAATTAGACAAACTGTTCAATGATAAAGTCTTACTAATTTTTGGCCTTAAATATTTTTTTTTGCATTGAAAATAAAACAGGAAATATATTTTGGAGCCAAAGATGAATGATTTTTTTTTTGACAATGGCATTTCAAAAGATATTTATCAATAAGTAAATAACTATATATATATTGCCTATAATACAGTGAACTTGCTTTATTCAGTGAAATTTATTTTCGTTAATATATAGATTAATAAATTACTCTGTGAGGCACAAGTATGGTGCGCTGTACTTATAAGTAGTATATGACGCGAGTGAAAACGTAATGTCTGGCAGAAGAGAAGATGGGGGAAGATCAAGAAAGGAAGAATGGGAACACAATGGAATTTGTATGAAACGTATGAACAGTGGTGAAATGTCAGACAATGGATTGATGATGGATTGAAGATTTGCAAATTAACGGTTACGATATGGTTTTCCTATTTTTTTTACTGAGTAACTCTGTAATTTTCGTTAAATACAATTCGGTTGCCCTCACCTGTGTTCTCCTTCACTACACAAGTACAGTTAACTGATGAATTTGAAGTAAAGGTCTCACAAACTCAGTAGATTGATCAGAGTTCGACATTAACACCATTGGATGCCCGCCCAGTGGTCCAGAAGTTAGGCGTTTGAGCGGTAGACTGAAGGTGCAGGAGTTGTGGATGAGCACTGCTGATGAGTCCCATATCAGGACAGAACTGCCATCCCCTGCTTCCAGGTTTCTAATGGTGGTCTAACAATGATTGATTGATAATTTCAAAACTGTAAAATACTAATCTCCATAACTCCATTTGAAAATACAGTGGAAAGTCCCATCCAAATTCTACTCTAAGTCACTAATCAGAAATATGGCAATATGTTAACTACAAATAATAAAAATAATAATGAGGTGTCTATTTAAAGAGCCCACTAGAGACTAACGAGATCCAAGTCTTGAATAGACGAATATAAAACGAACGCTCATAAGAAATATCACTAATATTTTAGTTTATATGACGATCATTTATCTAAAATATAAATCATTGGACGGAAAGAAACGAATAGTAATTTCCCGAAAAAAAAGTGTCTTATTCATAAAAACATTTTTTCGTCAAGAAATCAAACTAATCGAAATCGTATTATTTGTATTGATAAGTTACTAATGATCAATAGTTGATCAGAAAAAGATTTCTATCTATACGTAGATATAAATTACGAAACTACTACTAAAATGATTTTATTAACTAATCGAAAATAATCACTTTGATAGATTAAAACATTGAATTTTCATTACTTCGTTGTAAAATTGAAATTGGTGTGTAAGAATTTCAGTCTACTTTTCAACTTTTCAAATAAAATAACACTGAACAATCCAAGTTTTATGTAAACGTAAGAATCCAATAGAATATCCATCGCTATACATTACCGTAGTGTTGGGGACGTTAGACCCCCAGAACTCGCTTGATAAATGCTTTATGTTGGATTGCACGTTTGCGAGCATGGGCTGATCAGTTGACCTTGAGATCGCATTTCCCACCAGGAAAATCTTTGGCTGTGATTGGTTACTGTGTTATTTTAGTGTGCTATACTTGTGACTCTCCCAAGGACATTTCTATGATGTATAAATAAACGAGAGTTGTGTGATTGATTGTACTGTGATTGCTGGGTGTTTGTAGAATATACATTCTACGCTTACAATGCCTTTTTACTTCAGCTTAGGATTCAAGGTAGCCTACCTGGACGATGGTAAAAGTCTCGTTCGCGTTTATCGACTAAGGTAAACTTGTAATAGTCTCAAGCATACTTAGTGACGAACTTAGTAGTTGGTCCCTTTGATAAATGTAGATAATGGGATTAGGAAACGGAAGTTAGCATGCTTACATGAAACATTTACACAATTCATTTGGAACAATCTGGTCACACGAATACTTGTTAAAATACTGTACAGGAAAAAATATAAACAGGTCAACACGACATATTAAACGGTCAAGGAAACAAAGATAATAGTGATAATAAAGTACACCAACTAGGTAATCAATCAATATTACCAAGGCAGGTTAAGGATAAGAACAAACTAGTTTTGAATACTTAAAGGTGTTTCAATTTTCTTATAGCCAAGGCTTTTATGATTCTTAGTATATGTATATGTTAGCTCCGTTTATCTTGGGACAACCGAGTAAGCAATGCTATCGTTAGGAAATGAGTACTAGGTAGGGATGGCAGATCAATTGATGAAGTAGTGAAACTTCATCAGTTGAGGTGGTTGGGACATGTGTTACGTATGCCCAACCACCGACTGCCTCGACAAGCTATGTTTTGCGATGTAGGAATAGGTTGGAAGAAAGCTAGGGGTGGCCAGACCAAAACATGGCACAAATCCATGAAGTCATTGACAAGTGGACTGAGTCATGGTGGTCGGTGTAAACTACCTGGTTGGCGTTCACGCGATGATAGTAATCGATGGTTAGAGAACTTGAAAAACATGGCTCATAATTGTTTGCAGTGGTGCAGGTGCATTCATTCATTGCGTTCTCTCAAATGCTAACCTGAATTCCTTATCATTTCTATCTTTCTCTTTCAAAAGTTATCTTGCTGAACTATGCATCTCGAATCATGTTTTAGAACCTTAGTCTTCTCCATCACTGCTTATAATTCCTCTGTAGCTACCACTATTGGATTTGAACTGTCATTTGCGTCTCTGTGATGATGGGGTATGACAACCTGAACTTATGTACTCATGTACGAAGTTGTACGTTGTAACTGACTGGCTGATTTGTTAGTTCAGTGGCCTAAAGGTTAAGTGTTCACGCATGACCCGAATATCCTACATTCGATCTCCAATGGTGGAGTCATAGAGGTGCATTGCTGAGGATTTCCATACTAAGATGAAACAGCTATCCAATGGTTTGTGACCTTCATTGATGCTCTAAGTATGACCAGTTCTTGATGTAAACAATGGAAATTCTAAAATCTCCGTAAAACTCCCCTAATCGAAAATTTCATAAATCGTTGTTTAGAAAGTTACCACTGACTGACTTCAAATAGATAACAGTAACATGGTTAACATCTAAGACATTAAGATGATACTAATATGTCGAGCCCACATGGCTTGTCCCAGGTTTTGGAAAAATTAACTAATCCATTATTCACACGTTATCAATCACATGTCCTTCAACCTTTTCAATCATCAAAATTTGTTTTTTTTTTCTGCATATGTTGTATGTGTGATGCTTACTTTGATCATCATATATTTAGCATATTTTTGCCTCACTATAACAATTTAGTCATGCCTCATCACAAGGATTTAGCCCTCTCGTCTTTCCTATTTCTCTTCGCCTCACGTCACTCTGATTTTACACTTTTCTTCTCATTGTTTGTCTGCATTAATGAGTATCTGAGAGAAACTCATCCAACTCGATCCGTATTTGGCTTCCCATTATCGCCAATGCATAAATGAGGTTCGCTTAAGAATAATATACGGAATTAGATGAAAAAAAGTTCTTAGAGCCCATTTATTTGCTCGTAGAAATCGGAGTCAGATGCCGAGCTAATAAAATGAACAACAATGATGTGAAATTTTTAGATATTACTTTTTTTCTTAGCATCATAAAGTTATCTAGTTTTTTTAACTTTTGTATAATTTATTTCTAATTTTTCCCTCATCAGCCACAAGAAGTCAGGTCTTCCGAGATTTTTTATCGATCGAGATAGACTATGTGTGCAAAAGTATACGAATTGGAGTATTTCCACATAAATAGACCATCAAACTATCAGGAAACGATCAGTGAGTGTTAGTTAAACCGATCGAATTTTATCGATCAAGTTGCACTGTGTTCATTGTTCCAAACAACTTGATGTCGGGTTCACTGTAGTGATAAATTAGGTTTCCAAATAGCTTGTATTTATCAGTAAACTCAAAATGTGGTCTTGACGAATTCGATGTTAGTAAGTGACAACTAGCAAAAATACTGGGTTCTGGGTTGTCTGCAGACTGAATTCACTCAACTAACATATCAATGTAACATGTCAATAACCATGATGTCAAATGGTATTTATGTAGATGATGAAATAAACAAGTTGACTGTAAAGTGGTCATCATTGTCAGGGTACTGTTAGATTGTATCATTTCATTCCGCTTCGTTAACTAGAGTGAAGTTTCTATTTTCATCTTTACAAACATTGAACATTGATCATTTGTGTTATATTTCCTTGACTTTTATTTGCCCAAGTTGTTGATACTCTATTACGCCTCATTATAATATATTGAATTTTTAATCTAGTCAACACTTGAAAATTAAATCCGTATTTCCACTTAAATTAATAATTTTCCTGACTATAATAATTCTGACTACTCAAGTAATGAATAAATGAAAAAGTCATGTTCCTCTATAAGTGAAAATTAATATTCAATTACACCTTTGAAATCATGAATCGATCAACGTTAGACCACCATTAGAAAACTGGAAGCACTAGACAGCTATGCCGTCCCGATATGGGACTCATCAGCAGTGCCCATCCACGACTCTTGCACCTCGCAGGATTCAAATCTAGGAGCTTTGGTTTTTGTGCACGAACGCCTGACCTCTGGACCACTGAGCCGGTATCTAACACCGTTAGTTCCTAACTTTAACTGAATCAAGCTCTTGCGCAACCTCATACACTGTCTTCGGCAGTTACTGTCTACACCCGAAGAGGGTGAACTTCACTGGTCATCAACTTCCACTAGAACTCGGATAAGATTCCTGACAGAGCTAGTCAGTAGTGAGCACAGGTAATTGCATTACAGAGTTGTGAAGATTGTTAAGTGGATGCGCCCAGCTGATGAGTCCCATACCAGGACTTGATGGCCGACCAGTGCTTTCAGGTTTCTAACATTGATCGATTCATGATTTCAAATGTGTGACTTAACAATCTTCACAACCCCGTAATGCAATATTCAATTAGTGCATTCATTGTTAATTCTCATCTTAAACATGCTAAATTTTTCTCACATATATAAAACCAATTCAAATGTTACATTGTAATCATAATAACATTGAGGAAAAAGAAAATTTATTCACAAAAGTCATTCATTGTAGATAGTAATAATAATAGTCATAATAATAATCGTAATATTATATAGGTAAATATAATTCTTTTTTATTTTTCAAATATAATCCTAACGAAATAAATCAAATTTTATTTTTCTCAAAAGAATTAAAAAGGTGAATAATAATTTAATTATTACTGAGATTTTTGTTTAAAACAATGAATTCTTCAAAAAAAAATTGAACATTGATTTATTGAATGTGGATTCTTGAAAATGCCCATTTATATATAGATATATATAGATAGATATAATTATTGAACAATGAATGATGAAGAAAGAGCGAAGAAATATATATATGAATTTTTTCTGTTATATAAATTATCTGTTCATTATTTCTAGTATTATGATTATCATTGTTATTGGTTACTCTTTAAACAATCATATAAAGTAAATGTATATACAGTGTAGTAGTAGTAGTAGTGATATTAGTAGTATGAATAAGTAGTATTAAGTGACCAATCAGATTGTGTCCGTGCATATTTGTTGTAACCAGTTGTTTATACATGTTTCTATATATAAATATAAGAAGAGGCATTATTTTGTGTACTTCAATCCTCAAGATGAAGATGGGCGGGGGGCGGGGGGCGGGGGGTCAGGGCGATGGGAAAATGGAGTTTGTGCTATTTTGTTTTTTTGAAGCAGAATGCCTAATAATATACATTTAATCTGTAAAACAATCATTCACAAAAAGAATTGATCTTTTTTAAGCAAACACAGGGTGTTGTTCACATCAATTGCAAATGTATGTATACATACAATGAGAAATTGTGATACTCATTAATCTTACAATTATCAAATTGAATGAAAAACACAAAACAAAAGGATCATAACTGAACAATAAAACTATACACACAATGAATGAATGAATGAATAGAGAGAAGTAAAGTTACAAAAAACACAACTTGTTTACACAGTTGTCATAGTAACCAGTGTTGTATTGCCCTCTTTACTACTATTGGTACAACAAGAATTCGGTATAGTTGATGCTATTTTATGTGTTGATAATTTTAATTCACCATGATGATGATGATGATGATGATCATGTTGACGTGTTATTGTAGTAGTTAATTGTTTACGTTTTCGTTCAGCTCTAGCTTTTTCCAATTGTTTCTTACGTTCTGAACGATTCCAATAACGACCAGTTTTTAAATCACTCATTGCATCATCATCATCAGTTGTAATACCGGAACGTTCTTCAGCTACACGTTTAGCTCGTTCTTTAAGGAGTCGACTTCTGTAGAATGTAGAAAATGTAAAATGAGAAATTTAGTTAATTAGTGGGTGTAGGTGGATAGTTCTATATTGTATGGGATGGAAACTTGGAAAACTACCAAAGCCATCATCAAGAAGATGCAAGTATTTATGAACAACTGTCTACGCAAAATACTTCTGATTCGTTGGCCAAATATCGGATTCCAGTGAAGGAGGAAATAAGGAAGAAGCGGTGGAAGTGGATAGGACACACAGTGCGAAAAGCACCGAACTGCGTCACAAGCCCTCATCTGGAATCCTCAAGGCCGATGAAAAAGAGGGAGGCCAAGGAACAAACTGTGCCGAGAGATGGAGTTAGTCATGAGAATAATGAACAAAAATTGGACAAAACTGTAAAGAGAACTCCAGAACAGAATAGATTAGAGAATACTGGTCAGCGGCCTATTGTGGGTAAGAGGCGTAGGTAAGTAAGTAAGGTGGATTATGTGGCTAGTATGAGAATCTACAATATAGGGATTTTTTTCCTTATTTTCAAGACTTTTAGATTGAATTTACTTGTATCTCTCAAAGATGCTGTTCATAGTAAGTAGTTTGATTAATTCATTGGAATTTTAACTGAGATATTGAGCAAAAAAACTGATTTTAAACGGTGATAGTGATATCTAGATGTTCATTTTATCACTGAATTGTTATTTGATATTATGACTTTGTAGTATGAAATTAATATAGTATCAGACTGTTATGATCAATTAACTATTGTTACTTCCCAATTTGTAAAGTTTGACATGTGAACATTCAATGAAACATTGGAAGTTCTAGAATGATTGTAAAAATACCAATAAATCCAAGTCGATATGTGGTGTGTGCTACTTATACGAACAATATAAGTAGTATAAGAAGGAACGTGAAAGAAGAAGTCTCACGGTCACAAGAGGAAAACGGAAAGCAAATGGAGCAAAAGCAAGAAGTAAATGGAGCACCAACAGGAAGGAAAGGAAGCAATAACAGGAATGGAAGAAGGATGGAGTGTTGGAAGTCACGACTCAAAGATGGTGTGCAAACAAAGTATTCAATCTAGTGTTTTCGTTTTTAACTTACTCAGAGTGTTAATTTGCATCAAACAGTCTTGAGCGCCTGCCTCAGTTCTCAATTGGTGTCGCTGTCTCTACACAGGATGAAGATCCCATGGCCTCTGGAGTTTGAAGACGGAGATGTGAGGAGCTTCTTGAAGGCGTTCAAGGCCGTGGCGGAGCTGGTAGGAGTCAAGGAGCAAAGGGCGAAGGCGGAGGTGTTGGGGACACTACTAAGAGGCAGGGCGAGAGCGGTGTACGATGGTGTGGAGGACGCTGACTGGGAGGTGGTGACGGAAAGGCTGCTGGTGGAGTTCGACAGCCCGGCGGATAGGCAGGACGCACTGCAGAAGTTCCGAGAGGCGAGACTGACGGTGGATGGCGACCCACTCGTGCTGGCTGTGGAGTTGACAAGATTGCTGCGCCGGGGTCTGCCGAATTTGGATGAGGAGTCGCAAGCACAGCTGCTAGCGTCGCAATTCATTGAAAGTGTGCCTGCAGAGGTTGCCCAACAGTTGAGACTGGTGAACGCGGCCCAACCAATCGACGTCACCGAGCTGGCTAAAGTAACAAGACAATTGATGAACTCAACAGTCGCCTCGGTGGCGTGTGGAAGACAGGCTGATGATGTCGCGAAGAAGATAGAAGAATTACAACGTGAGGTGGCAGCGTTACGAATAAAGGGTGAAAGAAATAATAAATGCTATATTTGCGGAGGAACCGGACATTGGAAGAGGAATTGCCCAACAAGACGAAAACGAAAACATTACATTGAATACTCTATTTGCACACCATCTTTGAGTCGTGACTTCCAACACTCCATCCTTCTTCCATTCCTGTTATTGCTTCCTTTCCTTCCTGTTGGTGCTCCATTTACTTCTTGCTTTTGCTCCATTTGCTTTTCGTTTTCCTCTTCTGACCGTGAGACTTCTTTTTGCACGTCCCTTCTTATACTACTTATATCGTTCGTATAAGTAGCACACACCACAATACAAGATTTTGATTAGTAAAAGAGAGCTTTTATTTCACTACTGAGATTAGATTTTATTGTCTACTATGAAAAATAACAAACAAACAAACATTATAATTATTAAATAATCACAAAAAATAAATAAACACAATTGATTTATGTTTGAAATTCGTGTATCATGATGTTGAAAGAGTGTGGTACTAAACGATTTATTCCCTTATTCTATCTATCTATCTCTCCTTTCCTTCTTGCTTTTGCTTGTATAAAGACAACAAAAATGTTATCATGTTAGTTAGTCTTCTTATTTTTTTTATCATTTCAATAATAGTCACTTATTCACTTATGATAAGTAGTGTCAAAATACCGCCAATTTCTGTTGTCTCTTCTATTTCACGTATACACAGTAGTTAGTTTTTTTTTGTAGAGAATTATTGATATTATAAAGAAAAAAAGGAAAAAAAACAGACTAAGAAAAACTAAGTGGATAATAAATATTTGAGTAGTTGACTTTTTTACTGCTACTCATCAAGAATAAAACTAGTTTATGTGATTGAAATTTTGAAATAATTATTTGCCTTTTCATCATTTTGGTTGGTTTGATGAAAAAACGAAGGTTAACAGAATTATGTGGTGTATTTGTGCTACTGAATCAGTTGAAGTGGTTGGGACATGTGTTGCGTATGCCTAACCACCGACTGTCTCGACGAGCTATGTTTTGTGGTGTAGGAATAGGTTGGAAGAAAGTTAGGGGCGGCCAAACGAAAACATGGCAGAAATCCATGAAGTCATTGACTGAGTCATGTCGGTAGGTGTTGACTACCTGGTTGAGGTCCGCGAGACGATCGTTAGAGACCTTGAATGACATGGCTCAAAATCGCTTGCAATGGCTCAGGTGCATTCATTCACTGTGTTCTCTCAAATCCTAACCTTCTGAATTCCTCATCACCTTTATCTTTTTCTTTTTAAGTTTATTTCACTAGATTCCACCTCTTGAATAATGTCATCGAACCTTAATCTCTCCAATTACTGCTAATACTTTTACTACCTCTACTACTATGGGATTTGAATTGACAATTGCATCTCTGTGCTCATGTGGTATGGCAACTTGAACTGATGTATGTATGTATGTACGAAGTTCTACGTTGCTGTTGATTGGTTGATTGATTGATTTGTGCTGCACACTTCGAACAAACGATTCACAGACATATACGTTCAGAAATAATATATGGGAAAAAAAGGTCAACTGAGTGAATTAGATGATGAGTGGAAACAAAGATAATGGTAAAGTATACATTGCAGAAACCACTCTGGATAAACACTCATTCATTACCAAGGTAGATTGATTATTAGAACAGATTATTTTTGAATAGATAAAGTACGTTTCAGTTTTTGTTTATCCAAGGCTTCAATAATCTTTGAATGCTTTTGCATATCACTACAAACGCTGACTTGATTTTTACCGTATGACCAGTCTTGACTGATAGAATAGTGAATTTTTAAAGTGAACAGAACTGATACTCTTTGTGGGGTTTGAATTTGAGTCATTCCACTTTGAGGTTTAGTCTATAAGCTAGTTGAGCCATGACTGAACTCCAGTGTGTTAGGATATTCATCCAATATCCTAAGAGAATTCTCGGTCAATCCCTTTTGGTTAATTCCTACTAGTCAATTTTATGGTCGTCATAGATATCAATATCACGTTCTCCAATGTTGTTGCTTATTGGCCGTCTTAACTGTCAATGTCACAGACTTCGATGCTGTTTCCTTTTCCACCTGACGGTGTAAATACTCATTATCTGTAACCCGGATCCCTAGTCCGGGACCCTGATTCTTTTACGGACTCGGACGTCGTACTTTCTGTATGTTTGTAGAATACATGTTCTGCTTCATATCAAGTCTTCTTTTATTTAATGGGGTTTGGGATAATCGGATTCCAGTAGCATGTCGTGCCGCCGGATCCTCGATCCTCGCTCTCGTTTACTGACTAAGGTAAACTCATAATAGTTCAAGCCTATCAAAATTATGTGTTTACGTTCATGCGTAACACAGTGAGTCTGGGATATTCACATTGATTGGTCAGTCACCAGTGATCAATGTCAGTATGGCTACTTGTTAGCGCACATACATTTCCGTCAATCAATATAGAATGTGATCAATAGCATAAGTGACTTAGTATCTCGTGTACTATGTTGCGTTAGTTGACCGAAGGTAATAAGTAGCAATTTTTTCGACCTGGGTTTCTTGCTGTTTGATAACGTCAGTGGTATCTACTCTTAGTAGGAAGTTGGGTGGTTGCGTTCTGAATCCTACACAAAGAATCCGTTCTGCCAAACTTATATATGCGCCTTATTAGTAAGTTTCTAACTAGCACGAAACTAGAGTTCAGGGTTCTTTAGACTACTTGCAACCACCTAGCATTTACATAAAGTACACATTAATGTCAAGTCATTTAGACTATTTGACAGTTTACAACTTACAACAGCAAATATTCCATGTATTACGAAAAGACAATAAAATTAGCTACCATGACTATACATATATATACATATATCAAAACTCACCTTATTGGTCTTCGAGTTATATAACGTGTACCATCTGGACGTTTTTTCACTACCCATTCCATCATATTCCAATTATCCATTGGATAAACTTGTCCAGATGGTGGTAGACCAGCAGTTGTAATTGTAGACAATGCAGCCGTAGAAGATGAAGAAGAAACTACACCTCCAGTGGTGGTGGTATTCACAGTGGCATTGTGTAATTGTTTCGTATGACATGTTGCTGATGTATACAATGGATGAGGATAAATTAAAGGATTATTAGTCACGTAATCCAAATAGCCTACGGAGTACAAATATGGATTGAACAGTTTAGAGTGTGATGAATTTTCATTGGTAAAGGGCAAGTTATTGGCATTTGTAATAGGTGACCAATAATTCGGTTTCAATAAGAGATGAGAATTATCTTCTGTTCTATTTGTGGATAAGCTTGACTTGGCATTGCATGAATTGATTGATATATGTTTCGGTGGATGTTGTTCATTGATTGGTTCATCGTGTATTGTTACCGAGGCGTATGGTGTTTCATAGATATCGGAAAGAATTGGTTCACCATTCTAGATAAAAACAAATAATCACAATGATAAATCATGTAGAAATAGATGAGGTATAAAAAAGAATATTATTAATCTGTACAAATAATTATTAGAATTGTTTTCCCACCTCACTGATAAAGTCAATAGTGCCTTCTTAGGTTGAATTCTTATAATATTTTCAGGTAAGGATATGCATTGTACACGTTCCAATGACACTAGTCAAAGGACAGTTCACAATGTAATTGTTTGATTTAGTTTTTACATAAAACTTGGAGTTATGATCAACACTAATCATTTGATGATATTAGTTTAGTATATTTTTGATCGTATATAGTGAGTAATAATTAGTAATGATATCTTACACATTTTTGAAACCATGAGTCGATCAATGTTAGACCACCATTAGAAATCTGGAAGCACTGAAAGACGGCCGTTTCATCCTGGTATGGGACTCCTCAGCAATGAGCATCCATGACTCTTGAACCTCGCAGGATTCGAAACGGCCGTTCAGTGCTTCCAGGTTTCTAATGGTGGTTTAACATTGATCGATTCATCTTTTCAAAAATGTGTAACTTAACAATCTTCGCAACCCAGTAATGATATCTGTCTAATTTTTTTAAATTTTGATAGAGTTTTGTCGATAAAGTTGAGATTATTAATCCATTTGTATGGAGTTCCATTGGTATGAAAGACTATTTAAACGTTATATTGGTTACACTGCCCAACGATCAATTAATATAAATAGTTCATACTTACAAGAGGTCAGTTACAGTTTGAGTTGATAATCGGAATCATCTCCGATTGTGAAACTTGATGGAACAGGTTCTCATTTCACAGGGAGTTTCAATTCTTATGGTAGAGTTATGTACTACTGACGAGTGCGAACTAACATGGGACATATGTTCAGAGTTTCCTGCAGATTTCTTTAAACCGCCTAACGCGGATTTGATCGCTAAGTCATAAGTCAGATTTTAGATGTACAGATTATTCATACTTTCCGGGGAGTCATACTTCATTGCTAGCATCTCTGACTGATAGTTGGTGACATGAAATTGATTCCGACGGGTACAAAATTTTGTATTAAGTATCTCCAACTGATATTGATATCAAGGTAATAAACTGATTAGCGATAAGTAAAGACGTTAGTGATTTGAACTATTAAAATTCAACAGTCTCCATGAACCCCTCTATACCAATATTAATCGCTTGTAATCGAAATCCAGTCTCTAGAGAGAAGTCGTAATCAGTGGAGTTCAACTATGCCGGATGTGAAGCAGTTTTCTGCCGCACGAATGCAAGATAGTAGTGCAGGATCATTAATTAATCGATGTCAGATATGTACACGACATCATACCAGCTCTGTAATCTGAATTTCGAGAGTTCATGTGCGTTATTGAAGAGTATGGGTTGCATCCCCAGTGATAGGGCACCAAATGCATATTAGTGAGGAGTCTCACATTGCGGAGTAACTGCTATCGTTAGCTTCTTTGTTTTCAGTGGGGGTCTAGCTGTAATCAGTTCATGAATTGAACTATGATAATTTGTGGATGTCCATGATTTTGATCAAATGAACTGAATTACTATCACATAGAAACTACAATATAATCATTTTAGAAATATATACTATAAACTAATCTAAAACAAGTACATGACATTTATCTCATTAAATTCAAGTCTAATATACAAATAGATAGAGAGAATCTTTAATAAATACTACTAATCAAATGTCATGGTCACCTTTGTCAAAAATGACACATATTCGTGTTAGTCAATTAACAATCGATACGATCATTCAAACTTATATTACTCAGTATTCTTAATAATCTTTTAAAAGATATTTTTCTCAGACGATCATATGTGTTATTCTTGCATATTAAAGTAAATATTATACTTTTTTGTAATAAATAATTTGCATTCGTTTAAAATTTAAAGTCATACATATATGTGTGTGTATATAAACGTATACAAACAAATGAACACACTATGAATTGAACATTGAACACTTGTGTCTTTTTTTCATTCAAACAAAAATGACCAAGGTGTATGATTCAAAAAAAAAATTCTTTGTTTAAGTTTTCATCATAATAAAATGTCAAGTTTATAAATTATTATTATTATTATGATTATTATTACTAGTATGATTAGTTTTCCTTTCATAATTATCTATGTATATTTTTTTCCCTTCAAAATGTCGAGAAATTCCCGCCCCCGCGCCCAGTTCATAAATTATAAAATTTATTTTTTTTTAAAAAAATAAAATTTGAATGTGCTTGATACTTTGACAATGATTTTCCGTCTTTTTTTTAATTAGTCAATAAGACAAAATGAATCAGCAGAGTTAAACAAACATTGTAAACCCCTATTGAACATAGATTGAGTTAGTGGTTTAAAAGTTCAACGATTGTTACAAGGTCAAAGATCTTTGATTTGTTCTTCTGTGAAAAGAGCAATGATGCTTATCGCCGATAAATACTGTTACAATGAAACAGCTTATTAGTATGAATCGTGGTTTTAATTAAGATTAATCAGTGATTATTTTTTCTAAATGAACATAAATGCGTCTATAAATTACATGAAAACAATCATGTAAAAATTTGTGGCACATATATCATTTCCAGTGATCAATCATTACAAAATACTCTGTCAATTAATTATATAACCGGTAATAGAATGATAACTTTAGAGTGATAAATTTCCTAAAGTTCTATGAAAATTATAATAATGATGAGTTTATGACCGGAAACTAAAGTAAATAAGGCAGTAAGTACCATGGTCTGTTCAATGTTCAAGTTGACAAATATCAATTTATGAGCATTAAAAAAAGTTTCTCTATTTTTTGAGATTTGTAGTAATTAAACAATTATGTATTTTAACCATATGCACTGATATTATTTAGAGAAATATCTTCACAAACAATGATGAATGCAATGACTGAGAAACAAATGTAGTAGTACTTCACTAGTTCACCTATAATTCTCTTCATCTTTCTATGCCTTTTGGCGAAACGAAAGTTTTTTTTTACAGAATTCGTACAGAGTAATGTATACAGTAAAGGAAGGGGATTTACTGAAAGTCAGTATGTAGAAACATGTGTTGGTGATTATGATTGGCAGTTGACCACTATAAATATTTGTGTGTGAAAAGCATAAAACCATGGTTGATGTTGCAATTTCTCATTTTTCATACTGACAATTCTTCATTGTATGGTTTAGAATAAAGTGATTTTTAGTATCATCAGTAAAAGTATTGATTTTTTCGCATGCGGTAACCTTAAACGAAAAATTAGAAACGATAATCCCATTCAAGCTTCAACTGATATCCTGACAACATGAATTGGAAAAAATGAACACAGGTGTATCTAATTTACTGGAGTTCATTCGAGGTTGAAAACTTACTAGTCAGTAATCAGTGACATACAATCTGGTTCAGGAAATGCATCAGTTTAAGTTGAGTTATCGAATATCCATACAACTATATTACAAGTTAGAACAACACATATATAAGCGAACAATATTACTGTTTTCGATTAGATCGTAATCAAGCTTTACTGTAATGTACCTGAATATTTGGAAATGTTAAACCGATCAAGGCAATTTATGAGTCAACAATCACGACGGAATGAAATAGATTCCGTCACTACACACATAATAGGCAAAAGTACAAGTTGATAATATTAGGAAGACAGTGGTGTACTGATAATAGTTAGAAAAAGAATAGTTCTATCAAGTATTTGAACATTCAATGCAGCCAAACTTGCATTGACTTTCTCAAGTCGACCAGTGATGTCTACCGAAACGAAAGGTAAGTTACTTCAGTTAACCTCCTCTATATACATTTACAAATTCAGCTGCTCCTGTGCAGATAGCTATATCGGGCGTACTACCAGGCAACTTAGTGAACATCTCCCAGCATGGTTTATGAAGGGCCATTTAAAAACAATATATTGTTCTGTCTTGGTGGTGGTTGGTGGTCTAAAATTTCAACGATTGGTACAAGGTCAGAGAACTTTGATTTGTTCTTCTGTGCAAAGAGCAATGATGCTTACCACCGATAAATACTGTTACAATGAAACAGCTTATTAGTATGAGTCGTGGTTTTAACTAAGAATAATCAGTGATTATTTTTTTATAAATGAACATATAATTTTATTTAGAAATTACATGAAAACAATCATGTAAAAATTTGTGGCACATATATCATTTCCAGTGATCAATCATTACAAAATACTCTGTCAATTAATTATATAACCGGTAATAGAATGATAACTTTAGAGTGATAAATTTCCTAAAGTTCTATGAAAATTATAATAATGATGAGTTTATGACCGGAAACTAAAGTAAATAAGGCAGTAAGTACCATGGTCTGTTCAATGTTCAAGTTGACAAATATCAATTTATGAGCATTAAAAAAAGTTTCTCTATTTTTTGAGATTTGTAGTAATTAAACAATTATGTATTTTAACCATATGCACTGATATTATTTAGAGAAATATCTTCACAAACAATGATGAATGCAATGACTGAGAAACAAATGTAGTAGTACTTCACTAGTTCACCTATAATTCTCTTCATCTTTCTATGCCTTTTGGCGAAACGAAAGTTTTTTTTTACAGAATTCGTACAGAGTAATGTATACAGTAAAGGAAGGGGATTTACTGAAAGTCAGTATGTAGAAACATGTGTTGGTGATTATGATTGGCAGTTGACCACTATAAATATTTGTGTGTGAAAAGCATAAAACCATGGTTGATGTTGCAATTTCTCATTTTTCATACTGACAATTCTTCATTGTATGGTTTAGAATAAAGTGATTTTTAGTATCATCAGTAAAAGTATTGATTTTTTCGCATGCGGTAACCTTAAACGAAAAATTAGAAACGATAATCCCATTCAAGCTTCAACTGATATCCTGACAACATGAATTGGAAAAAATGAACACAGGTGTATCTAATTTACTGGAGTTCATTCGAGGTTGAAAACTTACTAGTCAGTAATCAGTGACATACAATCTGGTTCAGGAAA